TTCCAAGATCTATATGAAGCTTAAAGTGTGCTGGGCTGCTTCTTCCACTACAAGCATTTTGGATGCTGAGATGCTTCTGCCCATGGAGTGCTTCACAATTCAGTATCCCGTACAATAGGAGAAGGAATGCAACACATATTTCTCATCCTCTATAAACCAGAAGATCTGATTTGCAGGAAAGTTAGAGAAGAACCCAGAAAAATTCAGGGCACCACAACACACTGATGCTCCCCCGGAAGAATCTCGCTGAGGCAGAGGAAAACTTTCTACCCTCTGTGCTTTGAGTGAACTCATATTTGTGTTTCCAATAAAGAGTCATTTTTTACATTAACTGTCTGAAACAGCAGGGAATAGGAAAACTAACACAATCTTTACCTCGTACAAAGGATGATATCAGTGTCACGTGTCTGCTTCCTCAAAAAACATTATTTATAAAAGGCAATGGGGAAAGCAGGGAAACTATTGACTCTCCTCTGTAGCCCTGTGTGAGTAGCATTAGAGCAACTTTTTGATCCCCTACATTTTTTACATTTCCCCCCCACCTCCAGAAGTAAATTTCACAGCCACACAGGCCACCGCCTTTAATTAAGCTTTCAAAAGTCTTCTGACAATGCCAACAATTGCAAGACACTTCTAGAGCTCAATCATGCAATCATCGTGACACTTCTATTTACAATTTGTCTTAGAAAGAGTTTCTCTGACATTGTACTTTGACAAAACAGCCAAGCTGCCGGTTCACAACCTTTCTCTGTCTTATTTACAAATACAGCTTGTATGCAGTGCTCCAAATCTCGGGAGTGGGAGCCTTTTGGTAGCACCCTCACTATTTTTCCTGACTGCAATATTTTACCCAGCCTGTGCTCTCTCTCTTTCTTTGTATGGAGAAAGCAGACAGAATTTGACTCCAAAACATTCCCATATTCCTTCTTCCCCCTCTATCTTTGAGCTTTCATCTTATTGTCCAGAGGCACTGTTAACTATTCAATGCAGACAGCAGTATTTTTTCATCTCTGGAGCTAAATAAGGAATCACCATTTACAACCTACAGAATTATAATGGCAAGTACTAATAACAACCCAAGAAAATTTCTGCTCCAAGACATCACCTCCTGAAAACTGTAATATATATATATACTTAGTCTGAAATTTAGTACCAAATGACATCCACCTTCCCCCAACCACTACAGACAGAGGGTTTTCTTACATTATTTTCCCACGTGTTTTATTTGAATGCACAAGCAGCTTGAGAATACAGGATTTGAGCAGTAAAAATGACCTGCCCTCCTCCTTTCCTCTTTGTACAGTAAATACAGCATCCACGGATACACACTCAGCATCATACTGGGGAATATGCAGCAGCACTCCAAAGTGTTCCTCCAACTGCATCCAAGTAACATTTAAGATCCTTCTTCACCCAAAGCCCAACCTTTCATTAATTTCCTCGGATCTGTACATTCAACAAACAAACTGCTAAAACCTGACACCGGCAGATGATAAATATTTCTTCAGCCTTTTCAATAAGTGAACAGCAATTTTACATTCACTGATCTCCAGATACTTCAGTTAATATTTCCCCTATTGTAAAATACGAGAGTGGATAACTAAAGCCCTGCCGTCGCCCTCACTGCAAATCACGGGCTGCCGGTAGCTGGTGGTGAGGCTTTGACATACATATTGATGAAAGCTGCCTCGTTGGACCCACACAACATATCCTATTAATTTTCAGTTGAATTTATGACATTTCAGCTACAGCGCTGGATCAGCATCACTCAAAATTTTATAGCAAGGCAGAGCTACACGCAGGCAGACACCCACATGGAAGAGCCAAGTACGTACACACGCCTGCACCTATACGGATCTCACAACTACTGCACAGGTTGCACACATACATATAAGCTCCTGGACTCATCCCTGTCCCTGAAAAACGATGAGGATAAAGAGCAGCCTAGCGACTGTTAAAACAGACATCATTTCTCCCTGCATTTGCATGACTAGCTGCCTCCTTCCCTGTCTGTGGATGAGCTGATTCTTAACCATTACTTATCTTAAGACGATCTTTTACTGTAACACACCAACTTACTGTGAAACTGCAGGCAGAGCACATACTGCTCGTGGAGATCACCCACAGCACCTCTGTATCCACTGCTACCCTGGAACACCTCTTTCACCCTCACAACTAATTGGGGACATTGCTACAAAATATGTATTTTCTGGTCTCTTACCAGAAAGAATCAGTTCCCACAACTTCTGCATATTTTTCTAAAGGTAGCCTCTGTCTTTTTTCTTTTTAATTACACGCTCATATCTTTAGGCATTTTGCATTCTTGCACAGAAATCAGACATAAAAAAGCAGAATTGGAAGAGCCTGATGTGCACTGCAGGGGCCTTCCAGAAGCCTGAACTCCACAGCTCACTCCAAGACCCTTACCCGTAATTTTACTGCCAGATCGCACAAACTGCTGGCTACAAGCAATGGGTCACTCCAGCTGTTGCCACACATCTTAGCGATACAAAGGCGCTGAACTCATCCAAGCGAACGGAGAGATGAAAATATGAAGGAGTGGGACAGTGCAAGACCCCATACAACTCCTGGTGCACCTTCTCCCCTTCCCACAGACCGGCTGCATTTCCAACCAACAGGCACAACCAAGGGACCCCAGTGCCTCCCAGCTCTGGCCCAACCAGGGAGGTGCTCTTGGACCTCCCATCCACAGGCATGGCAGGACACCACCACACAGACAACTTGGAGCAAGAGTGCCCAAACAATTGCAACTCAATCTGTACTCAGGATGCACTCGTGGCTCCCAACATGGACCTTCCTGCATGGCACCAAGCCAGGCTCACCGACAGAGCAAAGGTGATCCCTAGGTGTAAGACAGAGCAGGATCAGGCCTCTGCCAATGTGCACCTCTCCTCACCCACTGCCTCTGCTCAGCAAACAATTTAAAATCAGGTAAAACCACAGCCCTTTCTGAACTAACAGCCCTATGACAGCGCATCACCCGCGCCATGCAAAACCAGACTTGGCTTGCTGAGTCTCCCAACAAGTCTCAAACAAGTGCCAGAGCAAAACCCCCAGCACCGGAGTCTGCCCTCATGCAGAACTCCTTGGTGTGTCCATCCCTCCATCCCAGAGACCTATTTGAGACCACAGGGAGGACAGCATGTTTAATTCTTGCTTGACAGATACTGTGTTTTGTCTTTTCAGCAGAGCGGCGCCATACGTAAATACAGCGTTACATCATACTGCCGCTCCTCCATATTTGGTGATTTAGTATGGCTCCAGAGCTCAGAAGACTACAAATCCCTTCCGCCAGGCTCCTGCTTCATTAATCATGCCCTACACTTCTGCTCGTTTTCCATAGATCACAGGCAGCACATGGAAATGGGCACTGCCCATTACCACTCCGGGAAAAAAAAAGACACCTTTAACATCCACATCTGGGAAGTGCAGTGTGAGGAATTATTGGGGGGCTTAGGTTTCTTTCAAAACATAGCTAATCAGTAGCCAAGCCTCTGTTTCATCTTGAATGTATAGATACTAATGTTTTCAAAGAAGTATCTATTACTCTGCAGAAATAGTACATATCAGTTCACATGATGTATGTGTGTGCACATACATGGCTTTGCATACAGACACAAGTGTAGAGAGACGCACACACCAATCTGCTGCCACCACAAAACCTCCAAAACTACAGCTCTCCAGCGTGGTTTGATGGCCGGTTTGGAGGCCAGGGAGGCTGCAGAAGTATCACACTCAACCTCCCAGCGCCTACTGCCCTATTATGGTTTAACTTTGTGGCCAAAGCAACCCCAAGACAAGCTTCAGCACACCATGTGATGATGTACTGCTCCTCTGACAACCCTGAGCAGGTCCTGTGGGCACCTCAAAACAAGATACCAGCAGTGCCACATCCCAAACACCACTGGAGGGGGAGTTTGAAACTGGTTCAGGCATTTGTCAGTGTAAATACACTGTGGTCTCACCTTTTCGACCAGCAGTATTGAAGTGATTTGCAAGGCTTGCTGCAAATGGGTAGTACTTTTGTTTACTAGCAGCATGCGCCTTGTTACACTCCCAGGACTCTGGGATTTTCTTTTGCACAGTATACTCTTGGTTTTTTAACCTCATTTGTGAAAATATCTGCATGGCGAATGCTTTTCCAGTTTAAAAAAAATTATGCCAAGAAATTAAATTATTTAGCCTTTTTTTTAAGATTACATTTCGTATTGTTTGCTGCACAAAACAGAACTCTGCCTTGGACATTTGTACAGCTGACATGTGGTTGTGTAAATCGCAAACAAAATCAAGATACATCTGTCAAAACCACATCAGAGACAAGAGAGAGCACAGCGAAGCATTTATCATTTGGCTGAGGAGGCAGGCTGCAGAGAGCAGCCTTTCCTGTCAAACCAACCTTTTGAAATTTCCAACATGCCCTTAAACTTTTCGAATAAGCATGTCTGTGCGCTTCAGCAACTGCCCTCTCTACTCTGGCCTGGCCAGTCGAAAATGGCATCTTAAAGTCAAGGTCGGTGGTGTCACTTTGCCATGGGGCTGTGTTTAATTACAGTCCATACGCTGACAGCCAATATGGAACCAAGGCTAGCTGATGCTGAGTTAACTCTT